AAAAAACTGCTTTAAAAAAAAGCTGTACATTTTATCCTTTATGGCTTTTAAAAATTAAATATTAGAAAAAGAACATTGCCTGTATTTTAAAAAGATTTTGGTAGTCACGAAATTAAAATGTCTTTATTTATTATCACAGTGAAGTTGTTATTATTTTCGAACTTATAATTTCTTTATGCGTCAGGTTGAGTAATAGAAAGATGAATCAGCTCTCAATGCTCATTTTTTTAAAAAAAATCGGTTTAAAAAATTTTGTATTTTTCTGATTTTTCAAAATTAAAATAAAATGTTTACTTTTTAAAAAACTGTTTTCTTAAAAAAAAAAAGTGTTAAATAATATGTTATAAACTTAAAATAGTTTAGATATTTTGTTTTAAAAAAGAGCAAATTACAAGCTATAAAATTTTTTTATTTTATTTTATACCCGTCGTTGAACAGCCGACCCAATTTTTGGGTTTACGACTACTAATGTTCAACTCCGTAGTCTTGTAATTTTGAACCAATCCAGAAGACAAAGAAATTCCTGAATTAGTACCTCCAGAGGTATTGATTTGTTACGGGAACATGGAGGACATTGCGACAAGCAAGATTTAACGTGCACCAGTCACCATTTACTACACGGGGAGTCTTCGGCGGGCGGGGATCCAACCCACGAGTTTAAACACTTAAAATAACTTCATTTTTTAAAAATAAAATAGTCCCGCAGTGGACTGATCGTTAAGACACGGTTCCCAGAAGATCACCGAAGTCAAGCATCACTGGCTGCGGTCAGTGTGCGGGTGGGTGTCCACTTGGATCAGTCTGCGTAGGAACCGAGGGTGTGCGGTATTGGTCCTCGTTAAACTGTTCTACCGTAAAGTGCTTGACTTCGCGTGCAGGTCGTCGGGCTACCGAAGCAGGGGTGCCATCCATAGAGATGCAGAGGATCAAAAATGTGATGGTGAGTCTTCGGATCATCCTCAGGGATGTTTCCCAGACCATCGCAAATAGCTCATTGTGCAGCTCTAGTGTGACGTAAATAAACTACAACAACAACTAAAAATAAAATAATTTCTCTTTATCAAAAGAAAATTATCAGTTGCATTGACTAGCGAGGACCTGCTGGACCTCCCGCCTGCATGAAATCATGGATTCATAGTTCCACGTTGATTCCTCTAAATTCTCAGCATAGTATTTTCCGTGTTAATCGGTAGATTAAAAATCTTCCTCGGGCTCACCTGTGCTGCCCATTACTCCTACACAAATTAAAAATTGTTTTCATATAATCGTCCATCTGCATAAACTCATCTCTTAGCGGTTCAATAGCAGGCGAACTGAAATCGGCTGTGCTGCACTTGATGCACGAGGGTACTTGATGGGAACGTGGTATTTAGCATTCCTGTCAATTAGGCTAATCACCACGACAATTAGCGAAGGTCGAAATAAAACTTTTTTTTAAATTTTTCAATTTCACTCACATGATTCAAATTTTTCGAATACTTGAAACCAAAGACCTTAATGTCATAGCCAAGTCAAAGAATGCGTCGCAACTTCCTACTTTTAAAAACTACCCATAAGACAAAATTAAAGCCAGAGGGTTATCTGTACAAGCTTGCTTTGCCGTTTTTCTTACGTAATTTATGATAAAATAATTTTTTTACTGTCGTGAAAAGCGATTTTCTTCAGAATACTGACAAAAATTGAAGTTTAAAAAAAAAATACACACTATTAAATTACCAATTCAATTTTACTGACAGCATACTTTTAAAGCTTTGCATTGTTTCCAGACGAAAAACTTGCACCAATCCTAAAAGTTATCTATGAAGGGACCTAAAATTCTAACCTAACAATCTAAGAATTTTAACCCAAAATTCAAGATGAAGTGAACGGATCCGACAATCCGGTCGACTTCAATGTGTGTTCGTCCCGCAGTGGACTGATCGTTAAGACACGGTTCCCAGCAGATCACCGAAGTCAAGCATCACTGGCTACGGTCAGTGTGCGGGTGGGTGACCACTTGGATCAGTCTGCGTAGGGACCGAGGGTGTGCGGTATTGGTCCTCGTTAAACTGTGCTACCGTAAAGTGCTCGACTTCGCGCGCAGGTCGTCGGGCTACCGAAGCGGGGGTGCCATCCCTTCCGCAGAGGATCAAAATTGTGATGGCATGTCTTCGGATCATCCTCCGGGATGTTTCCCAGACCGTCGCCAATAGCCCATTGTGCAGCTCTAGTGCGACGTAAAGTAACAACAACAACAACAAATCAATGTGTGTTCACACATTTTGATTTAAATACTAAACATTTAAAATCAGCGGATCAAATACTTTCAAATCAAGATGTTGTTTTCTTTTGTACAGAAAAATATCAATGCTGAATAAGGCTCAGTAAAAATTTTAAATTTGAGACACTTTTAAGAAAAAATTGTATTTCATTTATTAAAATGCACAAGTCCCGCAGTGGACTGATTCATAAGACACTGTTCCCAGCAGATCACTGAAGTAAAGCATCACTGGCTGCGGTCAGTGTGCTGATAGGTGTCCACTTGGATTAGTTTGCGAAGGGACCGAGGTTGTGCGGTATTGGTCCTCGTTAAACTGTTCTACCGTAAAGTGCTTGACTTCGCCTGCAGGTCGTTGGGCTACCATAGCGGGGGTGCCATCCCCTCTGCAGAGGATCGAATTGTGATGGCATGTCTTCGGATCATCCTCAGGGATGTTTCCCAGACCGTCGCCAATAGCCCATTGTGCAGCTCTAGTGCGACGACGTAAATGAACTACAACAGCAACAAAAATGCACAAAGTTTAAAATATGAAGATGATCTATAATGTATTTGTTTCTGAACTGTAAGTGCATGCTTATGACAAATATCGTGACGTGTAAAAAGGGGAAACAGTTTGTGACAAGGTCAAGGATGGGGGGATACAAAATGTGTGTCATCATTTATGACAGCCTTCATTTACATGGAACAATATTTCAATTTTATTTTTGGAAGCGATGAAAGACTTTAAGAAGAATTCTACAAGAAACTTCTCAATATTATGTATCACTTCCCAAAATCAGAACACTTCAGCTGGAATTTAAGGCATGGGTATCGTTGGAGAGAGAGAGTGGACGGTGCGTATATGCTCCCTTTAATAAGTCGAAATCTCTAATAATTCCCCTTAATATTTTAGACAAATAAAAAAAAATTGAATTATTATTGATTTAAATTCCTTAAAGATAAAAACAAGAACGTGAGAAAAATTTTTTTTGTGGGAATTTAGCTCATAAATTTTTATTTTTTTTATTTGTGAAATTAAGAAAACAATTTTGACTGTGTCATTTAATTTCGTCTTCTTCAAAAATATAGCTCGTGTGACGCACGCGTTTTAACCCTTTGACACAAAATTTTTATCAAGCATAATTTTCATATTTTTTTATTTATTATTTTGTACTAATTTAAGTCGAAAAATAAGCGAAAACTATTATATTTAGCATTTTAACAATTTATGGTTATGAAATACATCATGAAACACTGGAATGCTTTTTTGCATTTAAGGCAAAATATTCCAAACACGGTTCACTTTCAAGCAACAGTTTTTCAAATTTGCACTTATTTAGATCTAAGAGAAACAGTTATTCATGATTGAGATTTTGTTTTTTTACAAAATCAATTATTTATAAAATTTTGAATATAAATGAAAAAAAAAATTTCAAACTATTTTTAAAAAATATATATTTTAATACCAATGAAATTTTTATAATTTCGCAGAATTTTTTAGTAACTATTATACTGTTTTTTAATAATTAAAAAAATACTATAATATATATTTGAGCTTGTAATTAGAGTGTCAGTAAAAAAATATATACCGGTATCCCATCTGCGCCAATAATGGCATTTTATAAATGCAGTTGCAGTTTCATTTGTCATATCAATGTTTGTATTGAAACGAGAAGATTTACACGTTTAAGAATATATTATATAAGTTAGCTATTTATTTTCTCTTGCTGCTTAGATAGCTCTTAAAGAAACTATTCCATCACTGACATAGACCTATGGATAAACTATTAAAACGATATAATTTTGCTGGAAGTACTTAAAGCAGCTCTTTCAAATAAGTTTGAACTATAAAAAGTTATCTAAAAATTTAAATGATCGAAAAAAATTTAATAATTTTCAAGATCAATGTTTGTAATATTATATAGTATTTCTTTTAAGTACTTCTAAATTTTAAAAACTAAATTGCAGATATTGAAATTTTTAAAAATTTTACATAGTAATTACAGTATGGAATCGATTATCCGGAACGGTCGGGACCATCGCTATTCCGGATAACTGATTTTTCCGGTTTTCTGAATCGCTACAAAGAGTCGTTTTTTTATTGTTAAACCCAACTAAAAAAAAAAAAATTGGAAATAATCTTAAAAATAAGAAAAAACGATGAAGTAATACACTAATGATTATTTCCAAAATGATGGTAAGGTAAACATCTTTAAGAAAAGAAAGAAAATTCGTAAAATCTTATGAGGAAAAAAAATTTTTTTTTTTACAAATGGCGAGAAAATTTATCGAATTTCGTTCCGGTTGCAATCAGATTTTTAGTAAATAGATTCGGAATTTTATCTAGTGAAACTTAGAGTAACAATTTGATTGCTTTCGCTAAATACACAGTTTGTCAGTTAGTGATAAAAGGTATCTTTTACATCAAGTTTGATTTCAAATTTGTTAACCATTTAAAAATTATCCTGCTCGCTATAAAAAATTGCTAGAGCGAAAATAAGAAAACAAATTTATGCAAATTTTATTTAATTTTGATAGGAATGTCAAAGAGGTAACAGAACTAAAAACATTCAAATATTTATTTAAGCAAACCTCATGTCAATAAATGAAGCGGTGCATTTCGTAATGAAGTTCTTTAAATTTCCATCAATTTGATTTTAAAAAAACAGTGATGTGTAATTATGATACGTCATGCTATGAGTTAATAAATTATTTTTTTTATTTCTTTGACTATTTTTTTTTCACTATTATTTTAATTTTGTCAGAAGAAATATGACTCTGAGAAATTGTAAGTAATACAGCAATAAATGTTTATTATTATTATTATTTTTTGTACTGTTCTGCACTTGTTGGCGCCTCTATCGGCTTTGGCTTCGAAACATGTTATGCAATCGTGAACGATTTTTCGAGCAGTGTTCCTACCATTTAGGGGCCAAAACTCTTGTCTAACACAATGAAGCAAAGTTTGCGCACCAACATGCAAATTTTTTAAATGAAAATACTGGAAAATTAAAGTAGTTATTTTATGATCTCTTGGAATTAGCAATGGGTGCTTTTGATCATAAGATAAATTCGAATTGTTGATTCTGCCTCCTACTCTAACTAAACCATTAGAATCAAGAAAAGGATTTAAATTACTTACGTGGCTGTCCTTCAATCTTTTTTTATTTTTTAATGCATGTATCTCCTTCCTAAATACAATTACCTGTACTAACTTTACTAGAGAAAGCTTTGCATGCTGAAGTTCCTCTCTAGTGATGGGACCAAACATCCTTTCCTGTTTCCGACAATTAGAAATGAACCTATAAATGTAACTCAAAATACGAATTAGTTTTACAAAATTATTACTTAAAGTGAGAAAACTATTAACAAAGTCTGAGTTGGAAGACAAAGTAAGAGTTATATTCGATGATTTTTTAAGTTCAAGCTCATAAAGTTCACTGTTCAAAATTTCAATGGATTGTTGATCTGTTGGTTGAATGTCTAAATTCGATGGTCCAGAGAACCACAAGTCCAGTGACACCAATTCGGAAGGATCGATTCCTCGCGAAATCAAGTCAGCAGGATTCTCCTCAGATGGTATATGTCTCCAGTGAAAATTATTTGAAAGTGTTTGAATTTTGGATACACGATTTCCAACAAATGTTTTTAATTGGTGCGGAGAAGAGTTAATCCAAGCCAATGCGATGGTAGAGTCTGAAAATAAAGTGACCTCTTTGATATCCATTCTTAAAGCAGCTATAACTTTTTGAACTAACTTAGCAAGTAAAAGGCATGCACATAACTCCAAACGAGGTANAAAAAAAAAAAAAAAAAATGTGTCATGCGCTGCCACTCGTTGCTCGTGTATTGTATATGAGCTAGAAAGTATTTAAAGGCAACTCGCTTTTTTAAGTTTAGCTTTCTGTTTTAAGAAATTGAGTTATTAATAACATTGAGGAACAATTTTTGTTTTTTGCTTTATGTTGTTTGAGATTCTTTAACGGATCTCAGATACTTCTATATCGCTGATTTCAAATCTGCAATCGGCTTCTCTCTCCAAACTACAAGTTTTTTTTCTTCTTTTTTTGTAAAATGTTATTTTTAATTTGTTTTTTGTTGAAACGTGCTGGTTAAAAAACATTTTACAGAACAGGGGTCGCGTAAATATTACGACATACTTCTAAGTGAGTTAGAACACATCATCAGGATTAAAATTGAATACCCTAAAACTAATTAACAATTTAGCGACCTTTAACGTCTTGCTCTCTTTTGTGGAGATTTTAATCTTGACTGTAGTTGGTCCTAATTATTATACAAGCATTTATTTCTTTTGAAATGTGTTACCTGAACTAACGTAATATCAATAATCAAGTTCTCTCCTTATTTAAATTAAAAAATTAAATAAAAAAATGCTAAACATGGGAGAGGGGTGTTAAACACCACTGGATAATAAATCGTTGCCCAAAAATGTCGTCATACGTCGCATGGGGGTGTTCCCTATTATGAACTGTTTCTTCGCATGCTTCTGAACAGGTCATTATAGAAATCCACCCCTAGCTGCGTACGGTGAAAATTCTGTGCATGGGTTTTTATGTAATTTTAATCTTGATGATGTGTCCTAACTTATCTAGAAGTTTATCGCAACATTTACGCGACCCCCTGTTATATGTAACGTTTTTAAACTTCGACATTTCGACAAAAAAAGAAGACAAAAAAGTGTCATTAAAAAAACTGTAACTTAATAAGTAAAACTAATTTCATATTTGAAATACCAACACCCAAATTAGGCAATATCAAGTATTTGCATACATGAACAAAACATTTGCTTCTCAGCGTAATTCACATTGTTAAGGAAAAATATATATAGAAAAAAATTATTACATTTCCATATATAACGACGCGTTTATAACATTTAAACATCCACTCCTATAATATTGTAACGAAGATTGTGGTTGTCTGTAGGAAAATTCAGGTATATATGCTAAAGTAATCTTGTTCGTGTTCGTATTTTTCATGATAGCAACTACATTTTTGGTTTGCCAGCTATGCGTAAACTAAATGACTAATGAACCAAGTTTTAAAAGAAAATATTAAAAATGAGTCAGACATTAATTAAAACGTACTTAAGTACTTCGAGTTTTTAAAAAAAAGTATCTTGCACAAAAGTTCTTTAAATTTTCTTTTTCTTTCTTTCTTTTAAACTTCCACAATTTAGGCTTAGAGCAAATATTACTTGAAATGATTTAAAAAGTATACGTTTACCTACATAAAAAAATTAAAAATTTTATAAATAAAAACTTTTTTTCCAAAAAGAGTTGCCGTTTAAATTTGAGTTTAGTTATTGAATTCATCTAAATCAACATTTGTTGTAGATAGACCTTATTTGTGACCAAAAAATTTCAAAACTGAAAGATTTTGAAAAGTTTTTTTTGCACAAGGGATATTTTTAAAGGTATGTAATGAAGTATTCGCATTAATTAATGTCTTTATAAATTTCTGATATTTTTTTAAATGACATTTTGCATAAAAAGTATTTTGTGCATGTATTATTTCAAACAAAATTAAAAAGGTTCCTGTCATAAATACATGTTTTATATGCACATATGTGCGAAAAGTGTTTCAAAAAAAAAAAAAAAAAAAAAAAACCCGGAATTTCTGTAGTTTTACGAAAGTTTCCCCCCTTCTTTCTTTTCTTTTTTTGTGTGGCTGTAGTAGAAAAGGTAATGTATTAATATTTTAATAAATTAGAATTATAAGAATTTTGTCTACCATTGCATATAGTTAATTTAAACATGCAATAAAACTATACGTATGATAGCCTAGCCTGAAAGTTCTATAAAAGTTTTAATTAAACTCGATTTTCTGTTTTAAAAAAATTCTGCTTTAGTTCACTACTATTGAGAAATATTTCGCGCAAATATTATGATTTCACGTTAACGTAATAATCAAAATGATGTTGTCCGCCATGGAATTTTAAAAACTGGATGACGTATAAAAAACTCAATAAGCTTGCTGTGCTGTTTTTAAATGCTAGCGCAAAGTTTTAAACAAACTTGCTTTCTTAGTAATCTTAGAAATACTATAATTATTTTATTCAATAACTTGCGAAGTGATAAATTCTGAGTTTACGACTATCACCATTCACCTCTGTCGTCTTGTAATTATGAGCCCCACCCAGAAGACAAGGAAACTCCTGTATCAAACATTGGGACAAACTACCCTTCGTGAGGACTTTTTTGATGGAACTACCCGTATTTACGTTACATGGAGAGGAAAACCACGATACCCTCTGATTGTTAGCCCGGCCGCAAAGGGATTCAAATCCATGATCCGTCAACCACTAAGGATAACTTAAATCGGCGAAAGAAGGAAAAGTTGCATATTCCCTGTCTTAAGGATTGGAAAGGTTATCATTTGGAATTGTGCAGCAGGGATCAGAGTTCGTATCGACCATCCCTCACTGGGATTCGAACCATGATCATCTCATTGGGAGGCGAACGCTCTATTCCCTGAACCATCATGACTGTTCGCTATTATTATAGTGGCAAGCTAAAACTCCAGTTTAACAGCTCTAAAACAATGAAACATTTTTATTCATTTCTTTTCAAATGCGATTTTTTAAAGTCCACTTTTCCCATTTACGAAATACAGTGTACAGGTACTTTTGCATCATTTTTAGAAGAAATTTTTATAGCATAAAATATCGAGCTCTTGGTGAATTTTAAATGTAATCACTGGAATTCATTTTTTTTATTCCATTGATTATGTTTATTTACAGAAAAATTCGTGATGTGTGTTATTTAGCCGCATTGTCAGTAGGAGAGAGAGTATTGAGGTTGATAATAATAGCAGTTGAAGTATCTGTAATAGCAGTTGAAGTATCTGTTTACAGTAACTCTCGTTAAGAGACTTAATTGGTCACAGTTAATAGTGGTGTTTACTGTTGTAATTTTGTTTTTAAGATTGGCAACATTTTGAAGTTTACCAAGTGCTTTTGAAAAAGCCTTTGTAAGGGAAACGACGAAACTTTTTCAACTTTTAAATTTCCATTTGTGTTTTAGTTATAAAGTACACGAACGATAATATAATCAAATGTATTAGTGTTCCATAATTAAAAAAACTTTTTCAAAACTCACATAGTTGTAATTTATTATTTGTTTGTGTTGTTCCTAGGATGTGTTGACCAACAAGGAGTTGACTATGGCTTGCCAGCACTGTTTGCAAGTTATAATGATTTTGAGTAATTCTTGATTTAAATGAATAATTTATCAAACTTTGCCAAACATGGGTGGAAGCTGTCAAGGGCAGGTAAAATTCCCACAACTGATAATTTTTGGTTTTCAAATAATTTCACATTCAAATTTAAAAATGATTGTGATTTAATTTTTTTAAAAACTGTACATTATATGTGGGTGACATGCATACGAAAATTTAAAGGATGTTTGTTTTTTTAATAATCCTGTACACTGCTACTTAGATGATAATGGCATTATCAATATATTACTTTATTATTACTGTTGTTTATACGCTGATTGTTCTTGAATTAATTTTATGCACTTAAAATATTGTAAGTATTATTAGTTTTAATTTGTTTATCTGGTCTTGTTAAGTATAATCAATCTAATTAATTCTTTCTACATGAATTTCGAAACATTTAAATCTAAAGTTTCTGAAAAAGAAATTCATTTTTGACAAGAACCTATTGATTAATTTAAAAAGCTAATCATAATTTGATGTCTTTCGTGCATGACATCTAACTACAAATGAATTCTCGCAATTTTTATTTTGTAAGTACTACTGTGTATGCTATTAATGAAATCACTAAATTACTGACCTATAAAATTAGCTCTGTTTTATCAATCACTTCTGCTAGAATAGATTCATTACAATATCAAAACATAATAAAACATGTTTTTATCAAAATTTTTTTCTCAATTTCTCACCACAAGTGAAAGTTTCCTTAAGTAGTTCGCTTCATCAATTCAAGTTTAAATTTAGCAATTCTACTAAGGGGCTACAGCCTATCAGATACCGTAAAAATTGTTATGGATGGTAAAGAAAATATGTCCTGGCCTATAATGTTCACCTGAAAAAGAAAAAAAAATTGGGTGATTGCAGTTTAAAGTAAGTAAAATTAAAGCTTTAAAAAAAAACAATTTTGTTATTAAAAAAAATGAATAAAACAGACAAACACTAATGTATAAAACAGAATATGTGAATATAAATTTAAAAAAATTATGTATGAGATTTATATTCAGATTTAATGGGGGATTTATATTGTTTAAAATATGGCTTGATTCTAATGAAAAAGGAATAGGAAATTGGAATGTTCTGGATCCTAAGCCCCCATATTTTACAAAGCAACCAAAGTTACTGAAAAAATATATTATAGATCTATCTAATTACTTTTAGACTGCTAGGTATTCTCTTTTATGTATTGACAACGCATACTCAACATTTACGCATTGCTATCTCGAAATGGAAATGCCAATAAAATAAACAAATATTACTTCCGTCAGTATACCCAATTGAAATAATTTAGTTACATTTGTACTATAAGTACAGATTTTTAAAAAGATCCTATAACAAAAAATAAAATAAAAATATTTTAGCACCAATTCAAAAATTTCTCTTATGGGCACATTTAAGTTTCTCATAAAAATAGCAATTGTTTTGTATATGATTTACATGCATGTATTTTTATGTCTATTTTTATTTTATATTTTTGTCCATTAAAGCATTTATTTATAGCTTGGTTGTTGTTGTGGCTGTTCTCCGTGTCGCATGTGTTGCAGATTTCTGCCATCAGTAAGGGAATCAACTTCCACTAGACTCATGTATACATTGTATCTATTATTAGGCACACTTTTGATGTGTGTCATGCTAACAAGAGAAGTTCAAGATAGGATTATTGAAGTTGTGAGTTCGCAAAAATTTTTTATACTTGAAAATCTTTGTGTTCTGTACCATTTGTTTAAAGCTATAAATTTATTATTATATTGAATAAATGTCTTAGGAGACACAATGATAAAAAGATGAGAGGTTTGAAAGATTACCAAATTGTGTAATTCTTAATTATTTGCTAATAATTATACAATTCGGTACAACTGTGCTGTATAACTACTAGGCACTGTATAATGTTTAAAATTTATGTGTATGATTCAAAAAACTTAGCAACATCTTGTGTTCAGTGGCAGCTAATGACCTTTTTAGCTTATTTAAAATGATTCCATTTCTAAAAATTAATTCAAAAATAGATATTGGTAGAAAAATAGAGATATATAAAATCTAAATAAGGAAAAAGGAAATAAATAAGCCTAAAATATTTAATATTTACTATTAGTGTTATATTTAAATTGATTTATTTTATTTAGGTGTAATAATGAAAGAAAATTATTCTTAGTCATTGTATTTAAGTATGTTCACAAGGCACTTCTGGTAAATATTTAGAAAATATTATTTGTCAGTTATATAAATAAACAGATACTCCTTTAAATATTGTAATAATTTCTTGACTGTAATATGCATATTAGTGATTGATAACCTTTCAAATATGTGACCTCCTTTTAAGAAAAACAGCGTTAAAAACTCATTTCTGAAAATAAAACATTTGCTTAACACATAACAATTGTTGCTTAATGTTAGTTTTTTTTTTATTGTCTTCGATTTATTTTTAAGATAAAAGATTTAAAAATTTATGTTAAATCATTCATAATTTTATAGTTTATTATTTATATTACACATGGATTGATATTATTATATATTTTTTTATAGTTTCCAAAATACAATGTTACTTGCATAACATTGAATGCTGGAGAAAATTGTGATTTGCTTGTTGGTTACATGGCAGTATACAGGGTGTCTTTAGCTATGGCCATATTCTTCTTTGTACAGGCTATTTTAACCATTGGTATATCAACAAGTCTTAATTGTAGATCTGGTTTACACAATGGGTAAAAAGTTTTTAATTTTCTCATTTAAATATATTAAACATAACCTACTCTTGCTGGTTCCTCAGTGATTCCATTTGTATTTACCATTAGTCATGTTAACGCTATTTGTCATTACTTGGCAACAATCAGCTAAAGTTAGTGCCAAGTTTTGGGTAGCTTTCTTTACTTTCACTATCAGTTCTCAATAAACGGAGTATCAATAAGTTTTAATATACAGTATGAGACCACAAATCCTTAGATTGGGACCGAGAGTGTGCTGTATCGGTCCTCGTAAACTGTTCTACTGTAAAGTGCTTAACTTTGCATGCAGGTCGTTGTGCTACCAAAGCAGGAGAGCCATCCTCTCTGCAGAGGATCAAAATTGCGATGGCATGTCTGCGGATCATCCTTATAGATGTTTCCCAGACAGTCGCCAATAGCCCATTGCGCAGTTCTAGTGCGATGTAAATAAATTACCTACCAAATCCTTAACACTGATTGCTGTTGATATTCGGGATTTCGATTTTGAACATCAACTAACAAAAAAATAGTATATGTAATAAAATGCGATATTTAATAATAAATAAAAACAATGATGAAATTTGCAACCAAATCACTATTTATCCTGAACAACAGAGGTATTTTTACAAAAATCAGTAAATTTAAGTTATTTAAAGCATTTCTAGTTCTTTTCATGTTTCAGTTTCTGTAATTTGTTCAGCCGCGTAATATGTTCCTATGGAATAGAGTTCTTTGGTTTTGTTATAAGTTCGGAAATCAGTTCCTTCAATAAATCATTTATTAATCGACACATTTTCTTTTACTGTTTTGTTGTTTTCTTCATCGCTAGTTTCACATTGGCCGGTTATGGTACCATGTGACAAATAGGCAGTAATGCAGTCTTTAACTGCTTTATCATTTAATAGCTCCTCTCCCTGACACAAAGCATCAGAAAATAATTAGTCAGGCTTAGCATAACTGACTGATTCTTTTATAAGGCTTTTCTATTACGAAATTAGAAATCTATGAAATTCATCATCATTGCTCTCTGCGATGAATATGGGATAAGGACACAATTTTTGTAACTTAGTTATTAAGATTTCTTCATGCACTATGTATGTGCTATGATTTATTTTTGATGGTGTAGTGTTTATGGAAATTTTCTATACCTGCCCCATCAATGCAGGCGTCACGCGTTTTTATTAAAAAACTCTATTTTTATTGACACTTAAGGAAATTTAAAATATCCTGATCCTGTGGTTTAATCGTAGTAGTGCAGCTCGGTGGTAAAAAATGGACAAAAACATTATCCTTCTGAAATACCTTGGCAGAGGAATATACATTTCATTTGGCTAATAATAAAATTTTTTTTACTATCCTCTGGAAATCTGACTTTTTTACTGTGTGCTCATGCTTTTTTGCAAAGCTGTTTTCGAATTACTCTCTGAAAATGTCTTCTTGCTTCCTTGTTATTCCTGTAAAATGTATGGAAAATAAGTTCTTTTACTTTTACCTATAATTAGAAGTTTGTATTTATGTGTACCAGTGGCATTACTGCAGGTTAAAATAGTAATTCTTGCTTTACAATCTTCAAATTCCAATGGTGCTTCTCATTCACTTTGACATAGGATTATTTTAAAACATATTTCCAAAATAACACTGCTTCTTGAACATAATACTTTTGCTTTAACCGCCAGTTGTTTGAATAACTTGATAAAAACTTCAGCAGCTGCTATATCAGCAGAAGATATTTCTTCGCTACATTTTAACAATTGTAATCTAAGGCTCTTCTTAAATTTATCAAACCACCTTAAATAATATTCATAAGCAGACTTGATGTTTAACTGTTTGTGGAATATCTTGGCCTGTGTTGCAGTTATTTTCTGGTCCAAAAGGAAATGTTCTGATCGTTTTTGATGAATCCATTCAATCAAAACTTGGATTTTGTGTCAATTTCAGCATATTTTGCATTTTGAAGGGTCTTTGGACTTAGTACAAATGTTTTTTTTCTTCTCAAGTGTACCATAATCCAATTTGTGTACTCATTAAACACAACTTTATCACTCATTGTGAGACAAGAATGTTTTCTCTTGATTAGTTTTGACAAGATTCGATAAAAGAAAAATTTAATTAAATAATAACAAATTGATCGAAGCTGAACTTTCTAGCAAAGTGAACAAAGCGAATTTAATGAAATTTTGGAAGAATAATTTTTCTTGTTTGCCTCATGATTGGTTCAGAGTGATAGCAAGTAATTTTCTTCCCCTCCCCGTTGCTGTGAGAATATAAAAGGAATTCTCTGAATTTAGCTGAAAGACTTGTGAACGACCTCTTCCATTCCTAGAATCTCTGCTATTTCTGTTTGATTTCGAAACATATGTTTTAAGAGGAGCTTTAAGAGGAGGGTAGAAAGTAGAGCTATGTCGAAAAGTGTTATGACTGGGTGGGTGAAAAGAAGGATTTGATTTAAAATGGGGTTGAAAGAGGTTTTTATTTGTTTATTTATCATTACAAGTCCTTCAAGGTTACTACGTGTTTGGAGGGAAAAATTAGCGATTGTCGTATCATCTTTTGACTTAAAATTTTTCTTTTAGTAAAGAAAAAAATTATAAAAATGTCTTTTTCAAAAATAGAAAAGGAAAAAAAAAAATGTATTTTTCTTGATCTAGGGATTTTGGTCTTCTGAATTTTGGAAATCCAAATTTCAGGTCCCATATTGTATACATTTCTAGGGTAGAAATTGAGGAAATTTAGTCACTGGTCCAAAGAACCATTAACTAAAGGATATAATTAGCCCCCATGCATTTTCACTGGTTTGTTTTCTATTCTCTGTTATATTTTTTGAAGAAAAGTTAACAAAGTTAATTTAAAGGAAAAATTACAAAAAAAGGTAAAAAAAAAACAAACAAACAAAAAAACAATGAAAGTTAAAAAACGTAGACAAATAGATATTACATTGAATGCTGGTCTATTGGATCACTGATAATTATTGTACAGTGATCCAAGTGGCCACCCTTAATTTCAACCCCTGCAATTTTAGTCTTCATATAATTTATTATTTTCTTTAAAAATGGGCTTTATTTTTGACATGTTGATACATTGATAGATCTTTTCAAAATTTGATTTGTTTCTATAGATTAGCAAGAAGGAGAAAAAAAAACGAAAATTTTTTATATATATATATTATATAGTTCGTTCTTTTTTTTTTTTTTT